CGCTGAGGTTAGGAGGCCCAGGAGGACTTGCCATTGGCGCAGAGCGAGTGGTAGGTGCAACTGCATGCGCTCCCACCGGTCCCTGGGTACAGAGAGGAGGTCAAGATGTGTCTGGAAGAGGCCCCCAATGAACTGAAGGCTATTTTAGGGTGTCAACTCTGACTTCCTGAGGTTGATCTTCCACCCCAAATGGTACAGGAGCCACGGGGTGAAGTCCCTGTGGCGAAGTAGAGTGACAGTGTCCCAATAATTCAGGAGACGGTCATCTATATATATGCGAACTGAATGTCCCGGAGAGGGAGGTACGAGGCTATTGTCTTGGTAAGCCTTGTGAATAGCCACGGGGGTGTAACATCCCTTGGAGTGGCCGCGGTGGGACTGGTATGGCGCCCTGCCCCTGGGGCTGGAGGGTGTTGCGTCGAGGCTGGTATGAACCAGACTGGAACGCCTTAGCGAAGGCTGGCTGTGACACCCTGGCCAGGGCCTTGAGAGCCGTCTCGTCTCAGGCGATGGCTGAGACTCGGGAATGCGTCATTGATGTACAGCGACAGGCGTCTGGTCGAGTGGTTGCAGTGTTACGCATATCACGCGATCATGCAAGCCAGTCTGTACAAATACACTGCATGGATCCCATTAAGTCAGTTGACCTGATTACAGTCGACGATGTTTACAGTCGTAGTTCTTGGCACGTGACATGTAATTTGTCCTGCTCAGTAAACTGTAACCCTGTATGCTGAGTCGACTAGTTCCAGCTCCACACACGACCAATCCCCTGTGAACCTTGTGGTTGACAGACCAGTGGTGTTTCCGAGTTCTGAGTAGGAACTGTGATGTTGCCGGTATAGGGGCAAGTTGATTCCCGTGATAAGAGTGACGACTGGTCGGGTGTTGTGATCGATGACCGAGTTGGGTACCCAGAAGCATAAGACAATTCGGTTGAATACCGAATCGGTCATAGGGTTGTGATCGTCAACTGAGGTGCAGATAATATCTACCAGATGCCGTAGGTAGGAAATCTTTGAGAGTATGTTAGCTTTCTCCGATGAAACGTTCAACCAACGTGGATAGACGAGGAGAATTAGAGATTGGAGATTTCCACAGAACCATCACCATGAGTGGGTTGATAGCCTTGGGGGGAGGGTCCAATCCGGCGGCTTCATAAGCTTTGAGGATGACCGCCCAGAGCCACAGTATTCTGGATGACCAACGACTGGGATGAAGGGGAGACCGGCAGAAAAAAGGTGATTCCTAGACTTGCGGCAGGCTTTAGATCGTCGTAGAAAACCTTCAGGGCCCTTACTGGGCATAATAACGCTCATCCTCATCCTCAGCACCCACAATGGACGAGAGGGGAGGGGAGAATGAATGATCTATCAGGCTGTCCTGGGAGTTGATTCTTTATGATGAAGTCCCAGCACGGTCCACGATGAACGGCGCCCTGAATACCGCGTTCGAAGCGGACATGGGAGACGTCGAGGGCGTGGAGCTCATTGACCCGAGCAGCAGTAGCCAAAACCAGTAGCAACACCGTCTTCTTCCTTAGGTCGTAGAAGGAAGACGAGTGGAGTGGTTCGAAGGGAGCCGTCCGAAGGGCGTTTAAGACCACATTCAGATCCAAAGCAGGTGGTCTGAACTTGGCCTTCTGGTCTTCAAGACGGAACGAGCGCAGCGTCATTCTCCGATCGTCCCGGATGGCAAGAACAAGTTGATGGCGACCAGGTATGTGGAGATGGTAGAGCCCTTCAACCGACGGGTGCTGCACAAGTACAGAAGGAACTGAGCCAGGAAGTGCGGTGACGCTGTCATCGGATCATGGTGTTTGTCTGTACAAAATGCCTGGAACGAGCATTATTTATCATCATACTGTCCCTGTGTAGATGGACGGTCGGCTGAAGCAATAGCCTTGGTCGCTCTTGCCGAATAGCCCTTGGCTCATGGGGCTTTCTGCAGATGTGCCAGGCGTGCAGACGAAACCATGCGGGTGTTAGGGTGTGGCAACCGACTGTGTGGATGGAGCAGAAGGTTGGACCATACCGGAAGTTCCAGGGGTTGTCTCTGGTGATGTTTCGGAGGTCGATATGCGGTTGTTTAATATTGGATCCATTTTGACAGCTTTCTCACTGTAAAACATTACATTCCCTTACTCAACTATATGCATGCACATTATTGTCTTGGAATATCAAGCCTACAAACAGATATGAGTGAGTCAGGCCACAAAGTTAAAAAAAAATCAAAGGAGCCACTTGGCTCCTAAATTTTTTTTTCAAGGAGCCAAATAGAATTTCAAGGAGCCAAGGCAAAATGTAAGGAGCCAAAAGTAATGACTTGTAATTTAACTGAGCTTCTGCATAACAAAACACAAAAAAATCCATTGCCGATCCTTGCATTAAAACCCTGTTAAGTTATATCATTGGGCGTGTCTTGACTGAATCACCAGTAAATTCCAAGAAAATGTGTGTACAGCTGATTGCTGTGTCCGGCTTAGTTTACGAGAAGATACACATGGTAATCTTAATCCCTGGATATAAAACAATGCCTAGCAGAACAAAAAATACAATTTAAACGGTAAATCAACATGTCTGGTGATTTTTTCTCTCAAATCTCGAATTTGTACTGACCAAGTTTCTCATCACCCGTTCGTTTGCCGGACTTCGCTAAAAGGGTAGATATATCGACGGTGTAATTTTTTTTCTGCGCTTGGAAGATCTATTCGAATTTTTTTCCCAAAAAAATTCTGAATCCGCTAGAGAGGGGTGCGCACTATACTTAAGAAAATATGGTATACATCATTTGCCGATTGACAACGATTTGTTGTTGTTTTGACTTGCGCAAATATGGAAAAATACTTTGTGTTTTTGAACGGCGAAACGACCGCCACAGCTGTCACCTGGGCGGTTGTCGTACAGCGCATGCGTGGGTAGTAAACTCCTAACATCGTTAGTGCATTACTTAATAACGGAAAGTGCTTCCTTCATTCCAGGTATGGAGCTTCATATCGAAAGCGAAAACAGTACACATGACCTAGCAGTGATCTAGTCGATGTTATTATGTTCTGATATCGATTTTTTTCACTGAAGTTACCGCACTTATATTAAAAACGATCTTTTTTAATATCTTATGACAAGAGATATTTAGTCGCCAAACTTAATTAAAGACAAGGAGCCAGTTGGCGACTGACATGAAAATACCAGTCGCAAAATACAAAACTAGATCACCATGGCGACCAATTTAGTCGCAACTTTGTGGCCTGGTGAGTGAGTGAGTGAGTTTGATTTTACGCCGCTTTTAGCAATATTCCAGCAATATCACGGCGGGGGACACCAGAAATGTGCTTCACACATAGTACCCATGTTGGGAATCAAACCCGGATCTTCGGCGTGACGAGCAAAACAAACAGATATGAAAAGCACATATGTCAACATACCAAAATTAGGAAACTGTGTCAAATAGTCTAACAGTGTGATCTAGTGATAAACGGTCTCATTCACTCGTCGGTCAAAATCTTCCCAATCGTGATGTACTAGATCTACTTTCTAGTTCAGTCAAAGAGAATATTATTATTTGGAAACTGAAACCATGTACAACATTAGATCAGCTGTTTGACATCATCCAGGTTACAACAAGTGAAGTCAAATGACGCGCACCTATCCAGACAACAAATTCACAGCAAAATTTACGACCGACTATTAGCCTACACAAATAAATTTGCAGATTGTAACGTCATTGAACGAAAAAAAAACAAAGCATTTACTCATTGCTGACATTTCATATAACATAGCAAATAAGAAGTCAAGACTTGCAATAGATTATCATAGGTTAATCGAGAGTACAGTCCACATCAATAATTTGTAAATCGAATATTAAATAGATCTAATATCCATGGAGTATATCCAATGTTGAAATATGAGCTGTCGTGTTATGATAATTTATTCAATTTTGTGAGATTTCTAATGTGTATTTGAGGATATATATACATACACAACTGGTTATCAATTATCTTGTACAATCACAGTATGTACCATGCACATTAGACTCAAGGAAAATACTATTTCAGCAAACCAATCATAGTGCCATTATCACAGTTTCAATGAAAGGAAAAACATATCGAAAAGGACCTTTACAGCACATTGTATCCATAAGCAGGTTAACCCAAATGCAGAAGTTGTTGATGTTTTCAATACATGTATTATGTTTGTATCGCGTGTACCATCGACAGAAACGGGGGGCAAACTAGCAAATGTGAAACCGACCTTGACAAAATTTGTTTACTCTTGAAATCTACTTTTGCAACAAAATGGTCAGGTAGTTTGAGCAATCACACATGACTCTTAGTCATTTCATATTTAAAAAGCAGTAGTTATTTGTCGAAACGGGCGAGCATGTACGACAACTGGTAGACAAGAAATCGCTGCACAGTTATGATGCGAACAGGCCCGAAGATCACTTCAGGCTTGGCCATTCAATGTTTCCATTTTGATCATGAACTTCCTGCCCATAAATATAGACTATACCACCTTAATATTAACAATCAGAGCTATCTTTCCATATCTTAGATTTGAATATTTTCTGTAAATCTGCATCATAAACAGAAGGACAATCTGCACTGTCGTTTCGTCCTTAGCGCCGTGCTAAATCACCATGACACACAGTCGATAAAAATATGCAATACTTGAACAAAAAACTTCTGCTGCTGACTAAACTTTAGTAGTCTTACGCCAATAACTGTACAGAGGTAAGTAAATCTTTCTGACCAGTATGATTAGATTTCTAATGTGAGAGTGAGGGTGCATATTTGGTCCTGTGGCAACAAGGGGGTGAAATTGTGTCTCACAGTCTGAGAAATAGCTTTCATTAGGATAATATATAAGACAAACTATAAGCCTACTGGTACTAAAGTACTGTCGGAAATGCTAGAAAACTGCTTTTTGCCTGTTAAAAAAGGATATAATTTTTCACAGACTGTTGTTATTGAAATATCAAGTAACTACTTATCGCCCTACCTGTGGTTTGAAGTATTTCAGTCACAAGGGGTCCTATTGACAAGTTTACAGGAGACAAATTCGAATGAAAACATTTTTTCCAAGTCCAATGATGGCAGCCTGAAACAGACTATAGACATATGTGCATATAACTCTGTTAGAATGATAATAATGTAGTCTTCATAAAACATCCAATCTACACACAAAAATCATTTTGAGAAAATTCTAGATGTGCATCTTCTAAAATGATGCTGCGTTTGTTTTGTAAGCATTGCTCCCATGATGCATGTTACATTACACTTGCATAGCCATAACCATGGTACACGATATGGAGTCTGTAATGGGAACTGTATACAAGTTCTTTACACTTTCGAGAGATAGAGGGAAACCATTTATGAATTAAGATAGGGTGAATTGTCCAACTGCCCAAGCTTTTGGGTTTTCAATTCATGCCATCAAGTCTATGGTATGATAAATAAAACAAAACAGGCATAGGGGTGGTCTCAAAAACAAAACTGGGACATAAAAGGATATTAGACAGCTTTGATACAAGGTGAATAGGCGTATAGTGTACAAACTTTATGAGCAGAAGGTGACCCTGACTTGTAGTAGAATTTGGGAGGAATTAAAGATACAATTAATGTTAACCACACTAACTATTGCTCTCCAATAGATGGGATTTTGATAGACTGCGTGTGGCGATGACCCTGCACTTTTCAGGGGAAAATATTCCATCCTGTCTATGAGGTCACATTATCACAGTCAGGGCGTCCAGATAATTTACCTTGATGAATCATTACACTGACTAGATGTGGCTATTGGCAGCTGGACAAAAAGCACCCACAGATCATCAGGTAAAGGTAATCGTGTCATTGTTTTGCCATTGCAACCTGTGATATGGGGCTTACTGATGGATGTGCACTAGTTTTCGAGGCGAAAAAGAAAACTGGTGATTTTCATAAGGAAATTATAGGGGGTGATGTGTTCATAGGCTGGATGGAACTTCAGCTATTGCTCATTTTAAATGTCAGTCTCATAGATAACACCAGTTAATATAACGTCCAGGAATAAGATACTGTTGCCAAAACAATGAGTAGTCTGAAGGCGACCATACAGGAATATATGACATTGTCGACTTCAGACCATACAAGACAAAAGTTCATCTCATGGAGAAAATTCGGCTGAATAAGAACCCTGTAAAGTACAGGACATATGTGTTGGTGGTACAACACGGTCACGTTGTTTTACGTACGCCAGTCAGACATTGTGTGCTCAACCCTGTTGCCAATCTTGGCTAAGTGTAAAGGGTTCGTGGCAAGACATAACCCACAATATTCAAAAGTACAGACTCATATATACGTCATCAGTGGAGATAAATGCTACCTCAAGAAATCATCTGTAGAACAACATATATTTCTGGATTAAAAAAACGCAACCTTCCAATACTCATCCCGTTTCATAGCTCTTAACCATTCCATCATGTTTCCAAGCAAATATAATGCAGTAAATATCCTTAATTGCTACCCCATCATGTCAATTAAGTGCAATAACAGCAATATTTTGAGACCACCCCCAAATCGTGAGATTTGCACCTGTGAGAATGCCGGGAGGGGTGAGGTCATCACCTCGTGACAGGTGTTAGGTAATATTACCCCAGGTAAGGCCATTTCATACATGCATGACAACACACGAATATTTTCCAGGTTATCATCATTTTACGTGTAAAAGTACATTTTAAGGGTAATCACAGTGTCAGTTAAGACAGGCTAGATTAGGACAGTTTGCGTTATTTTGATATATTCCCTTTTTATAGTGCTATGACTCGTATTTGTGAAATGAAGCCAGAAAAGCAGTTTTCTAGCATTTCCAACAGTACTTTAGCATGTTCATGCATATCGTGTGTACAGTCACCTGCTGATCACTGCATAGAAAAACGCACCTGTTATGGGAAGTGGCTCAAATTATCTTCGAAAACTACCATCAATGTATTGTTTCAGGTAGGATAATTTACTCAGATCATCAGCCACACAGCGCGATATGTCAACCGATATAAACTTTTTCACTTCGTAGTGGCCCGCCATTAATGAAATAAGCGATGCGACGAAAGAAGGGTGATGATTGGTTCGAACAGACCATTCTATCAGACATCCAATCAAGAGATGTGTTTGAAACCAAGTTACTTCCGGTTAAAAAATGGCGGCCGAATCAAATGTTTCTGAGTAAGAGGCATCATATAATGACGCTCACACTGCTCTAAGCATGAAAGCCAAACCAAGTGCACGTGCTAAGGTAGTGTAAAACATGGGTCTAAAATATAATGTTGACAAAAATGCAGTTGAATAGATAAGTTTAAATGTCAGTAACGTCGAGATGTCTTTCTGCGGCGGCTGAGAATATCGAGTCAAAAGTCGTTCAGAACTGTCACATTACAAGTGAAACAATATTAACAAAAAAGTAACCCTAAATATGTGAGCATTTTAAATATTTATGAAATTACAAATGTACCATCATATTTGTCATGTGGATTGTCAAATCAAGTAATGCATTGTATTCACCGAGTCACCGAGCCTGACCATTAGGCTTGTTGCATATGACAATCATGGTTTGCTGAAGACCAATTCTAAGCAGGATCTTCATGGGTTGTACTGTATTCTAAAATAATACACAATATTAAAACCATACACAAGTTAAATTTGTTGTCCCAAAGACCTGTGAATATACTTGTTCTATTTTTTTAGAAACTGAAAGGGCAGAATGAGGTGTTCCTGCAGTCCCTTGTCAATAGAAATATTGGAAGGTAGGTGGTATGATCAGTGGAATGTTCATATGTCGTCTTATTTATCATATTTAGTGTTAGTAACCCTGCATTAGTAATTTGTATTGCATCCTGGAAATACAAAATACATATACCGTATATGACCGCGGATAAGCCGACCCCGTAGATAAGCCGAGGTGTTAACTTGACCATTGAAATAAGAAAGAAAATGATATGACCCGCAGATAAGCCGAACCAGGAATTGAAAGGCAAAAAACACTGCGAAGTCGGACTGCAAGACATGTGCCAGTACTCGCAGATATTCAAAAATATAAGATGAAAAACGTTGTAATTATATTGAAAAAGTCATTATTAGTTCTAATAAAGATTTAACAAACCAGTCATCCACTTTCATAATGTGGGAAGCTGTTTCTCGTGGGGTTTTTTAATCTCGTAATGATCGTTATGTTGCCATCAACAACGCAGCGCCATTTTGTGAATCGGTGTATATAGAATTATGAACCCGTGAGAAAATATATCAGCTAGAGCGAAGACTCGCAGTTTGAATTCAGCATCGTAAGCATGGCGTTTTCGTTTCAAACTCATGATGAAAAGTCAGTCAGTACTTACTTACTTATATTGGAGATTTTACGTGCGCTTTCCGACTGCAGCGTATTTTGCACACGGGCCCGGCCAAGCCATTTAATGTGTTTCCGAGAAGGGTAAAAAAAGTTGTTTGGCAATCCAGTAGGGGTGTTTTAGTAGTTGCTTATATAGAATTTTGGAAATTTTAAAATTTTGAAAAAATGCCAAGAGGGTTTGGGGGACGAACTAAGGGACCTGAGTATGGAAGTTTGTTAGTTTGATTATGTGGTCTGGTTTTGGTAGTTTATTGGGGTTTTAAATGCGATTTATTAGTCCTGTTTTGATTAGGTATACGCCTAAGGCTTTGAATTTTTCTATTTTATTTTGTGGGTTTAGGATTGCTTCTACAGTAACAGCCTTATTTAGATTTAGGGTGGTTTGTAGTGTAGTTCGGTGTGTTAGGTAGTGGGTGCAGTGTATGAGTGCATGTTCTGGTGTTTCTTGTTGTTTGCAATGTGGGCGTCAGTCAGTAAAAATATACCAACTTTTATAACCCCCTTTACACCACTATTGTATGTTAATCCAATTGAATTAAATAAACTATCATACTATGAACACATTGAATGACCATCACTTACTCAGAGGCTTTCCAGTTTATTAAACTAATCTCTCGAAAACAAAGGAATTAAGCCCCTACTCCCAACACGATCGCTAAGCACCCACAACTTGAAAATGTTTGTGTAAACAACATGACAATACCAATCGGCCCGTTATTATCAATGCTCATTTCCTTGTGTACCGTGTTGCTTTTTAAACAACAGGAAGCAATCACAGTGGTCACCGTTTGTGACGTCACAGGAAACAGCTGATCACATGTTTTTGCAAATGGCGAACGGAATAACTCGCCGATACAGTTGTTTATTTGCCTCTTTCAATAAAGGTAGACACTTGTTCACTATCAATTTATGAACTTTGCAAAACGTACGTAATAGCTATTGGCGATTTCATCTGGGGATTATATATTATAGCTGTGAATTACATATATTGTTACATGTAAAGATTGTGGAATTTACGAAGAACGATAAACTTTGAACATTCAATTGAAAACTTATTATCGGAAGTAGTAACATGCATAACATTTTTTTAATAATGACAACATTGGTGTATAATAATAACTTTATTGATAATTTATAACAATAATGGCTCTAGTCGTGGCAACTTCCAAACTTTTGGGAAGTTGTGATCTATCGGACCGTCATTCAGGCCATGTTTCTGACAGATCACGATCTGAAAAATACTATCATGAAAGTGTATCCCGTGGATAAGCCGACCCCTTTCTACAGAATCTTTTTTCTGGTCCTCAAAATTCGGCTTATACGCGGTCATATACAGTAATCTGATAATGACCTTTAAAATTTCTGAATATCCTCATCAAATGTCATGTGTTTAGTTGTTCAAAAGATCATTTCTCTCCTGCTACCAGTGTTTCTGCTTTTAAAACTGCCAGCCCCAGTGGACTGGCAACTCTAAAAATAACCAGTTCCCTCTAATTTTTGTCACTCCCAACATCAACAAATACAAATATGTATGAAATAGTTATGACTCTTTCAACATCGTGTTCAGTGCAATGAAATCATCTCTGAAGTAACTTCGTTAAATCTACACATCATTCACACAAAGTTCAGTCACAATTTTCTCCCTTTTTTTTTTTGAATATTTCGAGACAAAGTCACTACAAATATATTTTTAACCTCAAGGTAAAGCCAAATTATTTCCTTGCTCTAAAAATCAACAAGTGGAAACCCTGATGGTAACAGACAAGTTGTTGTTGTTCGAAAAATATACTTGAATGATTATTGCCGATGTTTTGTTCAACAACAAAGCTTTATAATGTATTTTATTTGTCTGTAAGGACTGGCAGTCACATGCATTACCCGTCCAAGCCTAATTTTATTGTTACAAAACTGGTAATTACCGGTAACACTGGCTACATATAATAAAGTATGCCACAAGTCATTTTGCTTAAACAAGTATGGTTTCTGGGTGTGCTTCAGGTACCTTCCTGGACCTTATTTTAACTGTGCCATTATGATTTAAACTGTTGTTGGCAGTAACTTGGCACTCTAATGCAAGGAATTTTGAAACCTGTTTACTGATGTGAAAAATAATGTATAATCTTCCTTGTTTACTCTTCTAAAACACTTCTCATACAGGAGTCACTGGTTGCTTATGCAGGTGAAATTGCCGTGCAGCAATGAATACCCACAGGGTGACAAGAGCCTATGAATGTGGTTGCCAGATTCGCCCTGATTCATTGTCAGCATCATAGTCATACCAAAGCTTGTGGGTGCCACCAATCTCATTCAAATCAGATTTAAGTGTTCTCTACCACTAAAAAAGATCTGAGGACATCTCGTTACCGGTCACATCAGAACAGCCTTATGTGATGATTGACCAACCAATGAAATGACTAATAGGATCTCTACATAAGCCTATCAGAAAGCAGCTTCCTTGAGCATTACAGAACTAGTTCGAAACTAGTGTCTTCCCTTCCAGACGTTTTCATTGGTCACATGACCTCTAAGCAGAAGTTCTATGGTTCATTTGGCTCCCAGAGTAGGGATGAGCTCTTTCTTATCAAGTGTTATCAAAATTAGTCCCAGTACTCTTTGGAGTAAAAAAGTCTGTAGTTCAGATCCCATCACAGGATACACTCTTATCACTTAATGCTTTCCTTAAAATTTAGCTGTGATATAACTGTGTAACTGTATAACTGTGAAATACTGTTAACAGGAACGTTACAATCACACTGCTCACATCAGCATGATCAGATCTCTGACCAGTAGATTTGAGTTTGTTTTTTTTTGTCTACCAACATAGCTGATAATGTATATGTCAGTAGCCCTAGTAACTCAACAGACAAAAAACATTCATGAATAAGACAAACATGACAGTTTGATGATGTACTGGAAAGACACCACCTCCATTAATGCCTACTTCAACAGTGTGTGTGTTACTTTACCATCATCATTTGATATAGTTTGTCCAGAAATTATTGAGAATGAAAACATTATTATTTTTTACTTATACTGCATTATACCAATGTTTGTTCTTGACAGAGAAAAGAGATGTGTGAAGATCTTTGTTTGAAGAAGTTGTTCCAACTAGCTGAGAGGCCAACCCTATCACACAGCTCACACATGACCAGGGGAAGTAACATCACGGATCCTCACATTACTCTTGTCACTTGCTGAGTAGCATAAAACTTGTGCTAACCCTCACGTTTGCTTTTTGAGTTAATGTTCTTTGTGCTTGTGTTGTGCATACGGTTTTTATCTTTGTACATTCTATGTTTTTAACATGTGCATAACTTGTTTTTACACCTGATGGCGTTTTCTTAAAAAAAGAAAACAATGGCAATCCCAGGTGTCTTGTTGTTTCAAGAAGCCATCTTGAATATTTTACGTGGCCACACAGTTATGAACTGGCTTGCGTGCTACACTCTTCTTGCCTGGTACCGCACCATTGCCGTACTTTTCCAAGTATATTGTTTTGTCATTGTATGTTTTCTCACATTTTTCGTAATATTTGTTTTATAAACCCACATAGTGGGAAAACAAATTATAGCTTACATAATCGGGCAGGGACGCATTGTGATTTTACACTGCTTCATTGCAGATAACATGCCATCCTGTTCCAAGTGCCGGCATAATATGTAGGCGTGGGATCCCCAACCTTTGTGCCTTAATTGTACATCTCCACACCTCCAGGCTACTAGATGTAAAGACTGTCTCCCACTTTCCCCCACAGCTTTCAGGCAATACATCCGTGTGTCCCAAAAGTGGAGATGGCAGCAGGCAAGGAAACTGGCGTAAGATGTCCGGTACTTTCAAGACTTCGCTGGGGGCACGGGTGGCCCAGTCGTCTAAGAGTTGCGTCCCTTAGGCACGCCAGAAACCTATGATTGTGGGTTCGAATCCCGGTTCGCCCGGATTATGTTTCTAGGTTTGTCAGCACCATACCCGTCCTCGTGGGTTTCACCGAAGTGGTAAACGTCTGAGACCTGCATCACTTCGGGCTTTCCTCCCACTTTAAGCTGACACGCCGCGATATAACTGGAATACTGTTAAAAGCGGCGTTAAACTAAACTCACTCACTCACTCACTCAAGACTTCGCTTACAAAGAGGGCTGCTACGTCAGCTACCATGGACAGCAACTTCCTGAATTCCACTGTTGCCATGATGTAGGCCCTCTCGGTCTCAGTCTCTACCCAGAGCACCCTGACGACCACCACCACGTCTACCTTCACAGCAGCAGCCGCTACCATGATGCCCGGCGCAGCGCTCTCCTACCAGATGGCATCTATCCACTCCACCGGACAGACGCCCTTTGGCTATGGCTTCCAACAGGTGCCCCTGTCTACAGCCATTCACCTATGATGGACGCCTCTCTCCTCCAGTACTTGCAGACCATGCAATAGACGCCGATATCTTCTGCCTCAGCCTCGGCCCCAGCGCCTTTACAGACGCCTCTAAAAGTGCCGCCCACAGCGCCTAAACTTGCGTTTCTCCAAGCGCCTATACAGATGGCGCCTATCCACCGGACAGCACTTATACAGATGCCTGCGCCGCCTCCAATGCCTCTGACTGTAGCCTCGTCAGGCACCTGTACAGACACTCTCTCTTCTACCGGTCTCTGATCTACGGTCTATCTCCCATTACTCCTTGGGTTCTGTTTCATCCAGTACGTCTTCTCGCTGGACTAACTGATCTAAGAGCCGCTCTCCTGTCAATAGATGCCCCAGCGGATACCGCTCGGATTTCTTGGAGGGTGAATTCGTCCAATACTATAATGACACTCCCACCTTGGGCTAGACCAGGTAGCAGACTGGTTGGCGGACTGACTTGAGGCAGTCGCTCGCTCCTTCCCCTGGCCTAGAGATCTATAGTAAGGACGCCATTAGATCGGACCCTACCTCTCTCCTTCAAGATCCTTTAATCAAGGACATGATCTTGGCCCTTGACAAGAACTTTAGCAAGCTCTCAGTGACTCTGTCCTTTAGAGCTCCATGCTACTGACAAAGTGATCAGCCGATCCACTGTCTCCACACTGGATAGACCCCCAAACCACTGTCTCATCCTCCCTACCTACAACGACAGGTCGAGCATACCTTGCTCTGACTCATTAGGACCCAGAATTCAAAAGGGACCTGCTTCGTAAACCCTGGTCTTCCTCTGACCTATTTAATTGACAGGTCTCCAAGACCCACTCCTGAGTTTCAGCCTTTGCCCGGGACTAGACTATCCCTGAAGGCCCTAGCTAGGGTGTCACAGCCAGCCTCCTTTAAGTCTTTCCAGTCTGTCTCCTACCAGGCGCGACGCAACACTCTCCAGCCATTGGGGCAGGGCTCCGCTTCAACTTTTTGGGGTATAGGCAGAGGCAAGTCCTCGGACTTGTACCAGTCCTGCCGTGGGCACTCCAAGGGAGGGAGTGGTGGCTGCATCTGAAGGTCCACATCTGAAAGTATGCCCTCCACCGATTCCGTTCGATAAAAATGCATTAAGGAGTAATGCAGGATAAGTAAAAAATCTAGTAAAACCCTAGATATTTTTTATATTTGTATACATATCCTGCATTACTGCATCTAAAGAGCTGCCTCCCCACCATGCCTTCCGATGTTCCGGAGTAATGTGAGGATCCGTGACGTCACTTCCCCTGGTCACGTTGGAGCTGCGTGATAGGGTTGGCCTCTCAGCTAATTGGAACAACTTCTTCAAGCAAAGATCTTCACAGCTCCTTTCTCTGTCAAGAACAAGCAGTAATATGCATTAAGGAGTAATGCAGGATAAGTATACATACAAATATAAAAAATATCTAGGATTTTACTAGAATTATAGATTTTTTAGTCATAAACCAAGAGAAAATTTTGTCCATCATACACTGCTTACCTAAGGCTCCAAAAGATAGTCTGTTCAATATTGTCAGACCACCTCTTTTTCTAATACATGCATCAATGCGGCAAGGCATGCTGCCTTTGAAGGAAGTCAAAACATCAGGAGTCCTACTGTTCCAGTATCCCACCACGTCTGCTTTCATATCACATATTTTTTTTAGATTTTTTTTATTGATATTGTCTTTCCTGATTCCCCAAACGCTCTATGTTTTGGAACATTGTCTTTGCTGAAATACACACCCGTCACCAGAAAAGACTTGTAGAATATCAGTGTACACTGCACTAGTCATGTTACCGTCAAATACACATAATGGTGTGGCACCCAACTCAGACACCCTACCCCACACATGAAATTTAGGGCTGTACTTTGGATGCTGGTCAATTTGTATTTCTGTACCTTTGGTTCTCATTTTTATGCAGTTTGGATATAGCCACACTGAACTTTCATCTGAAAACATAACATTGTCCCAATTGAAATTTCTGTGCTTCAAATACCAGTTCAAATGTGGTTCTTGCTGTTCAGGTTTTAGGAGTGGTGATGGAATTCCTCGTGATTTCTGACAATACATTGTATGCAAATGTGTTCGTATTGTCTCTTTGGAAGCATGAACTATTCCTCTATTAATTACAGTCAAGTCTTGTTAATCCGACAATTGGCTTTATCCGACACAAATGACCCCTTAAACCTGAAAGTCTCGCACTCCGACTCCAACACATCTAATTTGCAATGAATTGCTGAAATCACTCATTAATAAGTCCAGTTAATCCAACACAGTGATCAGCGTACTCATTGGTCATCTGCCCGCGAGTACACAGCCCCATGTTTTGATGCGAGACAAGTCGGCGATTAGCTGCATATTTCAGCGGCTGTAGAGATAAACTTGCTTAACAATAAACAATTACTGTAAATAAAAATAAACAAAACAGGATTAATCACATGCCTAGATCACCTCAATCTCATTAAAATCGGATACAAGTTCTCGTTACCGCTGAGGACATCCCATTACAAGTCATGTCAGAACGGCCTTTTGCGACTTTTTACCTACCAATGAAATTACTAACAGGAAGTCGACATTAGCCACTAAGAAAGCAGCTTTCTTAAGCATTGCTGCACAAGTTTCAAATTGGCGACTTCCATTCCAGACTATGCTTTAAAAAGTATTTTGAATCAATCATACAGTCCATAACAGTAGTTTTGTGTTTAGAGGTTGCATGATTAGAAAACATATTCCGCTAACATGTATGTAACATAACAATATGAATATTTCCTTTTTCCTTTTTTTATTACATGTTTGAATCGTTATCTATCGTGTAGTTGTCCAATTTTCGACCATGAACGTTGATACTGCCTTATTTTGTATATCCGACATACTCGTTAATCCGACATAATCATATGCAACCAATAATGTCTGATTAACGGGACTTGACTGTATTTCATGCTTACTATTTTCTATGCTCATGCTTCTGTTTTTAGAGGCCAATATGCCAAGTCACCTTCTGTCACCAAAAGTCAAATTCTTTGGCCTACCTGCTCCCTTTTTGTGCTTGATTCCATCTCCAATCAATAGTTTTCAAAACACAGTACACAGTTGAAAGCTGAATGTCTGTTCTCTGTGTGATGAACTGTGCTGATCTGATTCCTTGATTGTATAATTCAGAAATAGTCTTTCTTTTTTTCCAAAGCTGCCATTTCCACAATGGTCGTTTGTCGTCTGCTAGCTCATTTACCAAGGGAGACAACTCTGGTCATACATTACAAATATGATGCTTGGACTTGTCTCCCCTGAATCGAAGTCCAAATAAGTTCTATACACACCTTTGATATGGTAAATATGATGGCAAAAATGGTATGAAAATTCTAAATAATTGCTGGCAAAACTATAATGCCTGACTCCTTGCACTGTCAGGTGGCTTCTCATAGGAGTACCAAGCTCTGTTAACTTTAAGATTCACCTCATGTGCTTACTGTCTTTGACTATAATGAAATTGTATGATTTAAATTCTGAATTGTGGTCTTCTTTAGCCGTACAGGGAAAGATGTCAAGGCAGGAAAGCTGATAGAAAAAGATGAAGATGGCTTCGACAATTTTGATGCTTACTGGTCAGAGTCTGGTAGGTTGTTTCTGCAAAAGTATTGTAAGACCCTGTTTATCAAAGTGAACAATGAACCATGGCTGATAGAGTGATAGCCCTTGGTTGTAATAATTTTACTCGCAATTATAGACAGTAGCAGTATAGGGTAATTGACAAGGAGTAACTGACAGTAACAGTAACTGTCCTGAAGACTCACATAATACGATTGTTTCACTGTTGTAGCTAATGACTTTTTCAACATTGACATGGTTACTGGACAATGTTAACTGCATGTTAATAATAATAGTAATAATTATGAACAATAATATCTTAATTGGTATATTATTATGCACATTATATTTATATAGCTTGCCTCACTATATTATTTAGCAATGATGTCCCTTGTTACTCCTCTTTCTGTAAACTGATAAACAACTTTTATAAGAAGAATAGTTAATTCAGTTGCAATAAATACTTTTTAAATACAAGAATGACTTATCTAACTGCAGACCATATGATCAATTGTTTTAATTATTATGTAACTTTCTCTTATGTCAATTTTACTTGTGTTTCATTGTGTATTATGAGTATCAGACATGAAATGTTAGTTTGTTATCTTATCCTGCATTAGTACCTTAATGCTTCTACTGCTTTTCTTTTGACTTAAGAGACGGAGCTGTGAGAGGTCCTGGTACAGAAATTATTGTACCAACCAGTTGTGTGACTTACTTCCTCCCACAGCAACCATGTGTCCAGAAATGGCGAGGTCAAGTTTAATCAGATCACTGCCAGTCACCAAACTGAACAGACGTTTGAGAATAAAGCTCCCTAGTTTGAAGAACCAGATAGCATCTTTTGCCTGTCCTTTTGCTTATCCTTAGATAACCAATACATTCTCCATTGTGTATTTTGTAGTCTGTTGTACAAGGGTGGTCTTTTCAGGCCTACTTTCAGCGTAATTGTTGCCTGACTTTGGTTCTTATCGGCACTTACTTTGCATGTGTGGTACCATCCGCCATCTTGTTTTGCTACGTTGTCATGTTTACTTGTTTTGTGCTTTGATAATTCTATATGTCTATCTAAGCATTTGTTCATGTGCTAACTACTTTTCTATTCTGGGCCTTTTAAGTGTATAACTATACTCTTCATATCGTAATTTTTCTCGTAAACTTTCTAAAAGTTTGAGGTAAAATTTCTTGGCTGTCTTTCTTTGTTGACATATGTGTCTATTCTGCCTGCAACGTTTGTCTATTTTCTTACTTGAAATTATATGTCGTGTTGCTCACAATGCCGGGGCAATAAAACATCCAAGAATCCACACCCCCGGTGCGCTGATTGTACAGTTCAGATCCCTGTTCCTCAACACATCCAACTTCAGAAATAGCTGATCACATCGACACTGAGGTGTTATTATCCCCAACTACACCGCAATCATTAATGGAGAAGTGCATCTACTCCCCAACGTCGTCTATTGCATTCACACCTGCTGTGTCCGCACCCATGATCACCTCTTTGTCATCGGCGCTGTCGCCTGTCATGCCTCCCGGTTTCGGCTCATTCCATACACCGTATTTGGATCCCGTCTGAGTTCATTGGATGCAATCCATGTACCTGTGATCCGTGGCTCACACGGCTATTCCGGTGCTTCTGGTTTTCACCATACCTATGCCGACGCCTCCAGCTACCACGACTCCATCGATTACCTAGGTGCAATCTACCTCCACACCTGTGCTTATGGCTCCCTGTAAGCAGCATATGTGCTACCTCTTATCCGTCCTTGGCTCCTTTAGAGGCAGCCACTACACCTGGTCAGTCTCATACTCTCATACTCTCATGGCTCTATCTCTCCAAGGTCTTCCTGTCGTACTTCAAGATCCTCTCACTCCAGATGTCAGTCCAGTAGTTGCTCCCTGCTTTGGCGACAGTACCACTATTATTCGGACTTGCTGACAAGCTCAGTTTGCTTGTCCTTCAGGTCAACCGCGTTGGAGACATGCATCTGGGACATTGGATGGCAGACTGGTTGGCCTTGGGCACTCCCTCTCGGGGTCTGAATGTTGATAAAAGGGAAACAATTTGGTCTTTCCCTTCATCCATTCCCCTAGGTCCCATGCTCACAGATTAAATATTGGCAGTGGATGATGATTTCTCCAAACTGTCCCTCACTCCGGCCTTCAGGGATGTGAAATCTCAGCGGAAACGCAGAAAATCACGCTTTTTAAAACATTAGTTCTCAGGGAAAATCATCTTCAGCGTAAAAATATAATCAAAGATTTGAGAGAGAGAAACACTCCGAAAAATATGATCGAAAACCGGACAACCGTCGCAGATTGTCCTGTTTTCGATCAGAACTTTCATCAACATAGGTTTTTTGGACATCATACGTTTTTTATCACGAATACTTGCACTATAACAAGGGGTGTGTCGTCACACAGAAATTGTAAATACTCAGAGTCAGATGGTGGCTTGTTTTTAAGATAATCTTGTCTTTTAGCTTATAAGTGAATGAGATATTTCACAGTTCATGTGGTTAGCGAGAAAACTATGAATGTTTCTTCAGAAAACCCATAACATGGGGATATATGTTGTATTAATGTCTTATGTTTGCAATGGAGTTTTGTTTTTTTTCAACAAAAGGTAAGTAAGTACAGGGTAAGTGTTTTGCTTCAACATGGGGAAAGGGTCAGACATTGCACGCTTGTGACAGTTGTCCTTGTGTCTGGGGGATGGGGGTTGAAGTTTATGGCAGTATTGCTCCCAGCCCTGGCGGGTAGCCGGGTGCACTGAAGCTATGCCCGTACTGATTTAACTTCGAAATTTTACTGCATCTGCCATCTTTGTTTATTTGACTTATTGACTTTTGCCAGAAACCATATAATTATATGGTCTCCGCTTTTGCAATTGACTTATTACATTTCTTGGTGTGAATGCTGTCCAAACTGCACGAAATTGCTTAAAATGCAATCAAATGTTTCAAAAAAAACCCCTAGACTTTTCCTCTTTTTTTTTGAAAACCTGCTCACATCCCTGGGCCTTTAAGGCACCTCGTTATCTTAAGCTAGATTTTCCTAGCTATAGTCTATATGTTCAAAGCCGCAGATAATGCTCATACTCTGGATGATGATTTACATCGCATGACAGGCTTTTGTTGAGACGGAAATTCAAGCCTTTATCTGTCTTGGCCTTGTCTGCCAGAACCATTGTTTAGGATCTTACCAAGGACAATCCTAATCGGCTCAATCATTTTCGGACTATGATGTCATTTCAACAACGTCAAATCAACCATTTATATAAGCATCTCCAGTTGGCTTTGGCGGAGATTGCCACCACCAGGCGCCTTGGTTATCTCGCCTTAAGAGATTGGGATTCAGAGTTTGAGAAGCAACTTCTACTTCATCCCTGGAGTGCATCCTCCCTATCTAATGGCACTACCTCTGAAACCCATGCACGTGTCTCCAGCTTTGCCCGGATTGAAACAACACTTAAAGCTTTGGATTTCACCTATCACATACCGTCGCCAAAACAAGTCCAGGGGTGGTGACCACAGAGGCAGGCGCTGACGCCCTAGTGCCCTGACGCCCGATCCATTTGTCATGAACATCTGGTCATGTCACATCCAGGATTCTATTCCCTAGCGTTCCTGGTATTTACTGGATTATCTAGCTAAATACCGAATACCTGCACCTGAGGAATGTTCGAGTCTTACATCGTTTATTCGTTGGCAGCACCCGCGGACTTCCATACAGCCGTATCTTTGTTGGTGTACAGTGAGATTGTATGTCTGTGACAGCATCTTGACATCTGGAAGGCCAGACTGCCTCCGGGCTGTGGTCAAACGATCAGCTCTGGTGGCACATGAGGTTCATCATCCAGCACATCCCGGGTTGTCGCAACATTCTGGCGGACGCACTCTCCAAACCAGACAAAGTGGCTCCCAGGGAGTGGATGCTTCACCCAGATGCCTTCACCCTGGTGTGCCTGTGATTTGGCCTACCACTGATAGACCTATTTAAAACCAGCTAAATTTATCAACTCTGGACCTACATCTCCCCAGTTCCGGAGCCTCTGGCTTGGTCGGTCGGTACATTCAGCATTCCCTGCCACCTGTACTACTTACAAGGGTTCTGCAAAAGATAAAAAACACACCTTATCTATCACAGTGGTCAGCTTTGATTTTGGTTTGTGAATCTTCGAGACCTCGAACATTGCGACCCTCTCGAGCTTTACAAGGTGGCCACACTTACTGGTACATCCCAACAGTCAGTTGCCACACCCAGCTCCAGACAAGATTTGTCTGCACTCTTGGCACATCTCCACCAGGTGCTAAAGGTTAATCGGATGGAGCGGCGAAGGCTATTGCCTTAGCACATAGACCTTCGATACATACTCTGTATGATAACAAATGGTGTCCCTTTGAAACCTGTAAGGGTAAAAAAACCTGATCTTGTGTCTCCGTCACCACAATTTATGGCCGAATTCCTGCTCCACCTCTGCAACAAGCATCACCTCAAGGGTAGTACCATAACTACATATCTGGTAGCCCTCAATTCGGTGTTGGCAGTTCCCACTGGTCGTAGAATGACTAAAATCCTGGAACTTCACCCACTTTTGCTGTCGTTTCATCTGGAGGACGAGCGTACCAAATTTCGTCCCCAAGCCTTGGATTTGAATGTGGTATTGAAGTTGCTTCATACCGCTCCCTTTGAACCATTCCACTCGGGGTCTTTCTTCAATCATACCAAAAAGACAGCTTTTCCCTTCACTGTTCCTCTCTTATCATTGATAGTGGGATCCGAAGACGAGCATGACCTATTTCTGAGCCCAGTTCGAACCTTAAGGGGCTGCCCCCATCAATCCAAAACAATGTGGATCTCCAGTCTCGCCAACCTTGAAGATAGAAGTTGGTCGTAACACTATCTCACTATGGCTTCGCTCCGTTATTCTGCAGGCTTACGACCTAGTAGGTGTGGACCCACCTAGAGCCAACAACCCCAATGAGATTCAAGCCGACGCCTCGACCATGGCTTTCCATCATGGAG